TCCAGTGCATTAATCTAATGATGAGTACATACACCTGAGTGGGCTTTAAAGTGGTAAGATTTAGCTGGATGAAGCTGGTCACTTGGAGTGTGACTTGGAAAGGTGCATCTTGTCCCTGGCTGATGCTTCACTCTCTGTGTCTCCATTGTCATGAGGTTGTGGTTTGAATCATCCATTCATTTTTCTACAGTGTTTAGTCACAGCTCTGGCTAAAGCAGTGGAGCCAAGCAAACTTCTGAAACTGTGAGGCTAAATTGGTCATCACCCTTTTAGTTGTTTTTCCAAGGTCTCTTGTCATAAGGATGAAAATATATATAACACATATTCTCCTTGATGCCTTTGTCAACATTCATCATTTTGTCTATTTGAGTGCAATCACTGTACCTGGTAGAGATGATATCTCATTGTGCTTATTTGCATTTTCCAGTGGGAAGCATCATACGATCTGTCTCAAAAAATTACACAATAGGCCTTATGCTGACAGTCAAATGGCCCTGACAAAATGTAAGGACACATTTATGTCAAGGACATGCTGTGCAATGAATAATACTGGGTATATGGGGTGTCCACATGTAAAAGGGTAAAACTAGAATGATATCTTGTACTATCTTTAAAAATCTACTCCAGATAAGCAGGGCATGGTGGGACATGCCTTTAATCCCAGCACTTGGGAAGCAGAGGCAGGCAGAGGCTGATCTCTGTGAATTTGAGGCCAGCCTGGTCTACATAGTTCCAGGTCAGCTGGGACTACAGGGAGATCCTTTCTCAAAAAACAAAAAAGCAAAACAACGACAACCTCAAAAAGTACTCCAGATACTAAACTCTTAACTGTGAGACAATGAAATATAAAACTAGAAAAGAAAACACAGGTGAAATACTGTGACATTGGTCTGGGTAAGATAATTTAGACAAAGATGTAAATTGAATTTGGGCAATAAAAGGGGACCAGAAGAAAGGGCCACAGGAGGCAAGAGAGGGTAAAGATGTGGTGAATATGATCAAAGTACATGAGATACAGGTATGAAAATGGTCTAATAGAACCTAATGAAATATTAGTTGGTAATAAGTTTAAAAATGAATGTGACAGTGGTGGCCTAGGTAACAGGCCAGTCTGAAAAGAGTGGCTATAGCTACTCCACTTCTATGTTTACTAGATACCACAGTTCATTTATCCCAAGACTTGGCTGAAAAGGGTATTCAGGTGTTTGGACCCCACACAAGGTGTTTCTTGGTCTCTGGGAACAGGTTCCTAGCTAGAAAAAGGAACATCTCACAGGGCTGAATGTGCAGTGAACCATGCCTTTTATTAACCCAACAGATCCAAAATGAGAAAGAACAGTATAACTTAGTGGACAAACATTGTCCACTTGACAATATTAGGAATTGCTCCATTGTCTTGAAATCTATTCATTTCTGAGAACATGCCACATTTTTTTTGCAAGTAAAAATGGAATCAAGGTTACAGTGGGAAATACAAAGTGAATGTAAGCTAATGCTTTTATTTAGAATGGAGTTTTCTAAGAGTTTATGGTTCAGGAAGAAACTGTTGCTTTTTAAATTAATCTAATTGCCCTTTTAGAATGTTTATTTTTTGGATCAAGTCCAATGCTAAGGACTTTAACTGTACTTCAGATATGTTGCCAAGGTTATGGTCATCGTTAATGTTTCTGGGAGAAGTAGAAATGGAACAGTCTTGTGATGGCTAATCCTGGATGTCAACTTGATTGGATCTAGGATTAACTGAAATGAGAGAATACTTCTTGAGTGGATTATTTGAAACTGGAAGACCCACCCTAAATATGGATGTTACCTTCTGATGACAACCCTTATAAAATGCCACGGGAGAAAGCAGAAGGGAGCTTTTGCTTTTTGCCTGCTTGCCTTCTCTCTCACTGTTGAGTTCCTCTTGCAGCTGTGACCAACTTCTTCTGATTCAAACATAGATTGAAGACTAGCAGATCTCCAGGAATTCCTCAGGCCTTCAGTGCCAGATTTGAGACTATTGAGACATTCAGCCTTGTGGATTGAGCAACTATGGATTCTCAGCCTCTCCAGTGTGGTACAGCCATTGTTGGACTACTGGGACTCTATCCTGTAAGCTAATATAATAAATAAATCTCTGTATATATATACATATATATGTATATATGTGTGTACATTTTATCAGTTATGTTTCTGTAGAGAACTTTGTCTAATACAAGTCTGAAACATTAATACTTAGTTTAGCTTAAGGAGACTCTGGATTTTGACTTCTGCTGCGCCAATGTTACAAATAAAATTATTCTGTAGTCATGGGGCTCTGTGATGCATTTTTCTCAATTATACTTGACCAATGAGATCCTACAGATCACCATGTCTCATGATAACTCTTATTTCAGGTTGTCTACTTTTGGAAATTCAGGAAACTCCCACCGTCACTATCCCAATAATTCTGATTTGATAGAAGCATTCCATTGTAATAAGACCCAGATCAGCAGACATAAGATATCTTTACCAAAACTCTCTACAGAGGCATTGGTCTTGACTTTAATGCATCCTTCCCATGAGAAAGATAAAATTCAAAGATGGAATGTGCCATTGTGCTGCTGTATGAAGGAGTTTTCTCAACTCTTGTCTTCTTGAAAGAATTTAATTGAATAATACAGTTTAAGAAGTTTAAGCAAAGCAAAATATTAGAGTGGGCTGTCCTGAAAGGGGAATAGTAGTGGATTCTCTTTTGTGGATTTTCAGAGTTTTTTTTTTCAGGTTCACTTTTATTTTTATTTATTTTTTATCTTAGAATATTTTTATTATTCCAAAGAGAGGCAATTTTTAACACATTTTTTCCAGAAATAACTTGAAGCAGGTTACATAAAAATATACATGCAATGAAGTTTAAGCATGGAAAAGTAGGGATAAGAAATCAAAGACTAAATCTGGGTATGGGGGTACATGTCCTCAATCCCAGAATTTGGGAGGCAGAGCCCGGCAGAGCTCTCTGAGTTTGAGGCCAGCCCAGTCCACTCAGCTCGAGGCCAGCTGGGGTCACAGGGAGACCCTGTCTCAAAAAGACCAAAAAAAAAAAAATCAAAATCAAACACCAAAGCTAATAAGTCAAAACAATTGAATTGTAATAGGTCTGGGAGGACAAGAAAGATTATTTATTATACTTCACTGGCACTTCCTCCAAGGATATACATATATAGTATAAATTTTTATCACGGAACTAGTCTGTGACCTCTGTTTTTATTTTTTTTTTTTTTTTTTTTTTTTTTTTTAATACTAACTAGTTTATTGAGCTTGCCAACAGAGCATAGGGTGGGGATTTATTTACAAAAGAGTGGGTACCCCCCCATTTAAGGATACACTGGAAAGTCCACACTCAAATATGGATCCTGTGACTTCCTGACAGCTACACAAAATGGTGAGAGAGGTGCCTCATGGTGTTCTCAGCTTATATATCCTTAACTCCTTCCCCACATGCAGCTAAGGTGGACTGATTGGGTAGGAGGGGTAACTGACTCCCCCCCCCCGACTCCTTGATGAACATGGGAAGGAGGTGTGACTATAGCTTGCCAGCATAGTGGTTGGAAGGAACTTCCAGCTAACACTTCACCCCTTCCTCTAGTTCTTAGATTCTTTCTGACAACCTCTTCCGCAAAAGTCCTGAACCTTGGAGAGGGTGGTGGGCATGGGATGATCTTCCTCCCATTGCAGAAAGGCACTGAACTTTTGTGTCTCTGCATTGTTTGTTTTCCATGGGCTGTTGGCCCATTTCAGTAGGATTCCATTTACTATAAAAACACAAATAGCAAGAAGCAAGAACATCTAAATAGTAACTGCTATAATAACAACCTATGGGTGAAAACACAAATGCTTGGATGGTACTTTAGCAGGTGCATCACATCCATCTAACAAAACAATTGCAGTGGCTTCCCACTGGGGCCAGCAGGAACATCTTGTTTGGTATGCTGTTAGTGCAATACATGGGGTCTGTCATTGAGGAGAATTATAGGGGACTATTCTCCAGTCATCTGACTATTTCCTTTTGGCACCATGAAAACCTCCCATCCAGTGGCAGGGAGTTTCCAGCTTAGTCCAAGCTTGTTTCTCCCTCTCCCACACTCATAACATGCAGTGCCTTCAGCAATAGGGTTTTCCTTCCACTTCCAGTATACAACCAACATTATTGGCAATGGCCATTATTGTTTGGGGGACCTCTAGTGTTCCTTAGGCCAACAGCTCATAGGGGGCAACCCACCTCTGGCACTGGTGGCAACCTTTTGGAAGGGCTTTCTTCCATCCCCATAGAGTTCCTTCTGTGCTTAAGGCTTTTTTTAATTGTGTATCTGGAGAATCCCCCCCCCTTATTCACATAGTTCTTTGTATAGCTTCCCCCCATAACTACCCCCTTTTCACATATTTCTCCCTTAGTAACACCTTTATCCTACTATTGTCTTTCAGGTTCCTTCTTTCCCTTTACCTCCCTGTTTCCCTTCCATATTCCTGGTCCCTGCAGTTGTATCAGGATATGCACTCACTTATAAGGATTTGATGCTAGGATCCACAAATGAGGGAGCACATATGTTTTCTGTTTTTCTGAGTCTGTTACTTCACTTAGTATAACAGTTTCTAGATCCATCCATTTACCTGAAAATTATTTCATTTTGCTTTACTGCTGAATAGAACTCCATTATGTAAATGTACCACATTTTCATTAACCACGTGTCAGTTGAGGGGCAATTAGGTTGCTTCCAATCTCTTAGTTACTGTGAAATGAGCAGCAACAAACATGGTTGTACAAAGGTCTCTACAATAGGATGAGTCCTTTGGGTATATGCCAAGGAGTGGTATAACCGGGTCATATGGTAGTTTCATTTTTAGTTTTTTTTTTTTTTAAATGTGCTTGCATCTTTATTGTATAACTTAAAAAACTGCATTCAGTCAGGATGAGCCCATCAAGTTTCCCCTTATTATCATGGAGCCAGCTGCTGAGGTCCCCATGGCCAGGCTGCCTGCTCCTACTGAGAATGGAGATTTTTCTTCTTGTTGTGGCTCTCCAGTGCCCTTCTCAGGGCTTCATCTGGGATGAGATCAGTCATCCTCCTGTCTGTGTGGCTACAGCCAATTTTAGGGCAACAGGCCGCCTTCTGCTTGTGCTTGGACTTGATCATGCGAACAATGGCTTCCTTTTCGTAGGTGTGGCCACACACTTTACTTTTTACTGGTTTCTTCATTTACAGCTGTGTAATGGGGCAGATGAAATTGGTTTGGCTCTGGTCACAATCATATCTTCATCAACTCCTTCTGTCCCATCAGTCTCTCTGTCTGCATGCATACCATATTGCTTCAGCTCTTTCAGCTGTTGCTTAAATTGCATAAACTTTTCATTGTCTTTAAAGTCTGCATCAGAATTCTTATCCTGTAAAGCCAAAAACTTCTCTGCCAGTAATTTTAAATCTGGTATTTTTTCTGGTCGTTCTTCTTTTACATGATTTATTGTAGACTGCACAGCCTTAACGTAATGGTTTAGTTTGCAATCCATTTTAGCAAATTCAATCATCGCCTTGTCCAGACGGTGTTCGCTACTCACTTCAGTCTGAGTCTCCACAAGATCCAAAGCAACACTAAAAACAGTGTCCATTCCAGAGCTGATGCAGGACTGGAAGCTTTTTAAGGAAGAGAGAGCAGATTCTACTCCACTGAAGAATATAAAACAAGTTGAGCCTGAATTTGTACTGGAACACCCTGGCATCTTGAAATTATTACCAGGAGGCCAGACCTAGGAAAGCTGCAGCAGCTGCATGTTGCAGGCCTGAATCCTCATTTTTAGTTTTTTAAAGAGTTCTCCATGCTGATTTCCATAGGGATTGCACAAGTTTGCAATTCCACCAGCAGTGAATGAGTGGTCCCTTCTCTCTACATCCTCACCAGCATTTGGTATCATTTGTTCTCTTGATCCTAGACAGTCTGACTGGGGTAAGGTGAAACCTTAAGGTGGTTTTAATCTGCATTTCCCTAATTACTAACAATATTGAACACTTTTTAAGATGTTTCTTAGCCATCTTTATTTCTTCCTTTGAGAACTCTGTTTAGATCTTTAGCCCATCTTTCGATCAGATCATTTGCTTTCTTTGCTTTTTTGGTTTTTGAATTCTTTATATATTCTGGATGTTAAACCTCTGTCAGATGTGTCACTGGTGAAGATTTTTCCCACTCTGTGGGTTTTCTCTACATTTTCTTGATTGTTTCTTTTGCTGTACAGAAGCTTTTTAGTTTAATAAGGTCCCACTTGTTGATTGTGGACCTTAATTCCTGAGCAACTGCTGTTTAGTTTAAAAAAATCTTCTCCTACACCTATATCTTCTAGGTTACTGCCAATATTTTCTTCTAATAGTTTCAAGGGTTTTAAGTTTCACAGTGAGGTCTTTGATCCATTTGGAGTTGACTTTTGTGCAAGGTGAAAGATAAAGATCCAGTTTCATTTTTCTACAGGTGGAGATCCAGTTTGCCAGCACCATTTGTTGAAGATGCTATCTTTCCTCCATTGTGTGTTCTTGGCACCTTGATCAAATATCAGGTAGCTGAAATTGCATATACTCAGGTTTGGCTCTTCAGTGATGTTCCATTGATCTATGTGTCTCTTTTTGTGCTGTTTTTATGACTATAGCTCTTTAGTGTACTTTGAGATCTGGTATAGTAATCCCCCCAGTGTTGCTCTTGGTGCTCAGGGTTGCTTTGGCTATCTGGGGTCTTTTATGCTTCCATATGAATTTAAGGATTTTAAAAAAATTCTGTGAAGTATGTCATGGGGATTTTGATTGGGATTGCAGTGACTGTATATATTGCTTTTGGTAGGATGGTCATTTTAACAATATTAATTCTTCCAATCTATGAGCATGGGAGGTCCTTCCATATCCTGGTGTCTTCCTCAACCTCTTTCTTTAAAGATTTAAAAATTTTTGTTATAGAGATCTTTGATGTCTTTGATCAGGTTTATTCTAAGAATTTTATTATTATTAATTATTATTATTAATTTTTTGCAGCTTTTGTGAAGGGTTTCCATGTACTCTTTCTCCAATTGCTTGCTATTGGTGTATAGAAAGGCTAATGATTTTTGTAGATTAATTTTGTAATCTGCCACTTTACTGAAAGTGCTGATCAGTTCTAATTTTCTGGTGGAACTTTTGGGATCTCTTAGGTATAGTATTATATTGTCTGCAGAAAGGGATAATTTGACCTCTTCTTTTCCAATTAGTACTCCTTTAATTTCCTTCTCTTGTTTTATTGCTCTAGTAAGAGTTTCAAGTGCTACACTGGAAAGGAATAGAGACAGTGGGACATCCTTGTCTGGTTCCTGATTTTAATGGAAGTGATTCCTGTTTCTTTCCATTTAGAATGATGTTGGCTGTGGGTTTGTAGCTTTAATTATGTTGAGGTATGTTCCTTCCAGTCCAGTTCCCTTTAGAGCTTTTATCATAAATGCATGCTGAATTTTGTTAAAAGTCTTTTCTGCATCTATTGAGATAATGATGTTTTTGTTTGAGTCCATTTATATGATTGATAACCTTTATTGACTTTTGTATATTGAACTATCCCTGCGTCTTTGGGATAAAGTCCACTTGATCATGGTGGATGATCTTTTTGATGTACCTCTGTATGTGGTTTGCAAGTATTTTGTTGAGAAGTTTTGCATATATGTTCATCGAAGTCTATAGTTTCCTTTTTGGTTGTGTCTTTACCTGGTTTGGGTATTAGAGTGAAGCTGGCTTCATAGAATGAATTTGGGAGTTCTCCCTCTGTTTCTATCATTTTGAAATAATTTAAATAGTGTTGTTTAGAGGTTTTCTTTAAATGTCTAGTATAATTCTATCTGGGCCTGGGCTTTTTTACTGGGTAGGGTCTGTATTACTGATTCAATTTCCTTATATGTTATAGGTCTGGTTAAGCTGTTGATCTCTTCTTGGTTTAACTTTGGTGGTTCCCATGATTTTAGATATCCATCCATTTCTTTTAGGTTTTCAAATTTGATAGAGTATAGGTTTTTAAAGTATTCCCTTATAATGTTCTGGATCTTTTGTGTGTCTGTTATGATGTTTCCCCTTTCATCTCTGATTTTGTTGATTTGGATTTCCTCTTTCTTTCTTTTGGTTAACTGGGCTAAGGGCCTGTCTATCTTACTTAGCTTTTCAAAAAACCATCTTAGTATCACTGATTCTTTGTATTGTTTTCTTTGTTTCTATTTCATTAATTTCTGCTTTGGTTTTTATTATTCTCTTCTGCTGGGTTTGGGTTTCATCTGTTCTTGCCTTTTCAGTGTCTTGATTTGCAATGTTAGGTCATTTATTTGGGCTCTTTCTAATTTTTTTTGTCTTTTTTGAGACAGGGTCTCCCTGTAGCCCCAGCTGTCCTGGAACTTACTATGTAGACCAGGCTGGCCTCAAACTCACAGAGATCTGCCTGCCTCTGCCTCCCGAGTGCTGGGATTAAAGACGTGTGCCACCATGTCTGGCCTATTTTTTAATGTAGGCACTTAGAGCTATAAACTTCCCTCTTAGGACTGCATTTAAAGTGTCTCAGAGGTTTTGTTGTATTGTGTTGTCATTTTCATTGAATTCTAGGAATTCTTTTATTTCTTCCTTAATTTCTCCTTTGGCCCACTCACCATTTAGGAGTGTATTGTTTAATCGTCATGAATTTGTGTGGTGACTAGGGCTTCTTCCAGTGTTGATTTTGAGCTTTATTACATTGTAGTTTGATAGAATTCATGGAATTATTTTAATTTTTTTTGTATTTGTTGAGGTAGGTTTGTTGAGGTTTGTTTTGTGTACCAGTATGTGGTCAATTTTTGAGTAAATTCCATGGGTTGCTGAATAGAAAGTGTATTCTTTGGTGTTTGGGTGGAATATTTGGAAGATGTCTGTTAGTCCATTTGATGAATGGTATCGTTTAATTCAGACGTCTCTCTGTTTATTCTTTGTCCAGTTGACCTGTGTAATGGAGACAGTGGCATATTGAAGTCCCCTACTATTACTGAGTTTGGGCCCCCTTTATCTCTTCTCAGTTTTAGTTTGAAGCCTATTTTTTCAAGCCCTGGTCATTTCTTAGTGCCATTTACTTGAAATATTCTTTTCCATCCTTTCAACTTAAGGTACTGCCTGTCCTTGAAGGTAAGACGGGTTTCTTGCAGACAACAAAAGGTGGATTTTATTTCTTAATCCATTCTTAATCCAAACAACCTGTGCCTTGACTGGGAAGTTCGGTCCATTGATATTAAAAGTTATACCAGAAAGATGTGTATTGGTTGCCATCATTTTGACTACTGTTTGCATTCTTTGTCTAATTGTGTGTCCACAATGATACCTTTATTTAGTTTCTTTCATTGCCCATGGGGTATAGGTGTTTCTTTCTCTGTTTTTTGTATTGCTTCAAGTATTCTTTGAAGGGCTGGTTTTGTGGACATGCATTCTTTCAGGCTATTTGTGTCATGGAAGATTTTTATTTCCCTCTCAATTATAGTAGACATTTTTGCTGAGTAAATTATTCTGGGCTGGCATCTATGGTCATTTAGAACTGGAAATATCTTGGTCCAGGCTCTTCTGGCTTTCATAGTTTACACT